ATAGAACGACAGACAGACATATATTTAAAAAGACTTTCATTGGTATCCTCTTAAGTCCTCTTTATGTTGATGGGTTTATTGGTAATCTCTGCCAATACTCTTTAAAGTTATGAATATAAAAATTTGTTTCTTTTCTTAATATTCATTCGGTGTACATGTCTTCTCTACAACAATATTGTTGGCTGGCATTTTTTTTTTTTTGTGTAGAACTTTTAACTCATGTCTGAAATGCAAGTTTTATATGTGAGTAATCTTTTTTAATGTTAGTTAAAGTGAAGTTTTTTGTCTTGCTTTTTCAAAATTTGTTAGTGGTTTTATATTGATTTATGATAATTTGTTTATTAAGACAATTATGACAAGTTAAAGTTAAAATTTTAACACCATGATGCTATAGTTGTTAAGTAAATTAAGCAATATCTTATTTAAGACTACTATGTACATAGATACCATCCATAGTAAATCTTTGCTGCAGAATTTGTACAACATTTTTATTACAAAATGTTTCTTATATTTCTAATTAATATCCGAAAGTATCATATTATATTTGTCACTCTGTATTTATGGGAATTTTCTCTAAATATTGCAATATAAAACCCTCACAGCTTCCCATTTTCTTTTTTGTTTACACGAATTTATAGATTCAGTGCAATGTAATGTAATAAAATACTTTTTGTTTTAGTGCATAAGTTTTCAAAGTTAATTAAATTAAATTCTTTCAACCAAATGCATAAAATCCCCAACCGAACACTAATTAAAAATCCCTGCTTTCGCATACACCTCCACCCCCAAACATTTTTCTATTTTACACATTTACTCATAGGAATTACATCGAAATGTTTCGCACTCGGTTTACTAAACCGATGTCTATTCAAATGTAAGCGTTCTACATCATCCATATGGGAAGGGTATTATGCATTAGTGTAGGTGTTTGTAACGAATAAAAACTTTGGTGGTTCAACACCCTCTTTAAAAGCGGAAAATCATTTTCAGAAACTTAGACTCACTTCCAGAAACAATTCTAAAATATTGAGCTGTATATAGTGCATAAAAATGTCCTGATATTAAACTTCCAAAAGTCATATGTGTTTCACCTAGTCGACTAATATTGATATTTTCTTCTTTTGCACAAATATGCGTACACTAACATTAACGTAGAACCATTAAATATTGTTGCAATTTTAGCAACTAATTATTTTGAAAAATCATACACATATAGACAGACATTTTCTGTATTGGAAAATCTGTTGAAAGCGCTCGAATAACACACGGTTAACGTAAGTTAATATCTTTTGATGTTTTTGTTTTTGGTAATAATTCACTTTGCTTACCATTATGTCTGCCAACTGAAAAGAAAGAAAAAAGAATAACAAAAATTAATAAAGTTAAAAAAACTGGGCTAATTGCTCACAAGAGCCTTTTATAAGTTTCAGAACAGGAATTGGTAACAAAAAATCATTTAAAATACTAAATACTTTCAAAACATATTTGACTCATTCGTATGTGTTTATATGTATGTGCGAAAACCGAATCTGATATCGATTATTCTATATCATCCACAAGTATGGTATTAAAAATTTAGTTCATATATTACGAAAATTTTATATAATTATAAAAATATATTCACGTTTACGGGTTAATTTAGATTTTCTCGAAATAATTATCACTATATATTTTTCTCAAATTTCATTTAATTAGGATGTAAACTTACTAATACATATATGACTACGGATTCATGAACATATCTCAATATTGCATATTTTGACATTGATTTAACTGAAATTTCAGATATATGATTCCCATTATCTGAAATTTTATTTTCTCTAAAATTTTATATAAAATGCACAATAATAAGGAATTATGCCTGTTTTAAAGAAATGGTCTTTACAAAATCCATATAATTCGCAAATTGCCGGCATGCTAACCTCTGTGAGATATTGACCTAAAATTTTAAATTTTTATTCCCTTATTTATTGTCTACAAACTATATGGAGATTTTCTAAAAAAGAAATAAAATGGGCCTAACAAAATATTCAAACTGTACTACAAAATATAAACATTTTAAAGCAGAGGTTTTTAAAACTGTCGTTTGAAGGGTTCTCCAATTTATAGCTACATACATATATCCAAAATACGGTTTACACTATCTAATGAAGATAAAAACATTTAAGTTTATACGAATATGGACGATTCCATTCAACCTATTGGATCCTAGCAGTTCAGATAGCTACTTCTTTGTTTTTTCGCATTTCCATAATGAGTTAGTTAGTTAGTAGTAGTTAGTAGTTAGTTAGTTAGTTAGTTAGTTAGTAGTTAGTTAGTAGTTAGTTAGTTAGTTAGTTAGTAGTTAGTTAGTTAGTTAGTTAGTTAGTTAGTTAGTTAGTTAGTTAGTTAGTTAGTTAGTTAGTTAGTTAGTTAGTTAGTTAGTTAGTTAGTAGTAGTTAGTTAGTTAGTTAGTTAGTTAGTTAGTTAGTTAGTTAGTTAGTTAGTTAGTTAGTTAGTAGTTAGTTAGTAGTTAGTTAGTTAGTTAGTTAGTTAGTTAGTAGTTAGTTAGTTAGTTAGTTAGTTAGTTAGTTAGTAGTTAGTTAGTTAGTAGTTAGTAGTTAGTTAGTTAGTTAGTTAGTTAGTTAGTTTTAGTTAGTTAGTTAGTTAGTTAGTTAGTTAGTTAGTAGTTAGTTAGTTAGTTAGTTATTTAGTTAGTTAGTTAGTTAGTTAGGTAGCTAGTTAGTTAGTTAGTTAGTTAGTTAGTTAGTTAGTTATTTAGTTAGTTAGTTAGTTAGTAGTTAGTTAGTTAGTTAGTTAGTTAGTAGTTAGTTAGTTAGTAGTTAGTTAGTTAGTAGTAGTTAGTTAGTTAGTTAGTTAGTTAGTTAGTTAGTTAGTAGATAGTTAGTTAGTTAGTTAGTAGTTAGTTAGTTAGTTAGTTAGTAGTTAGTTAGTTAGTTAGTTAGTTAGTTAGTAGTTAGTAGTTAGTTAGTTAGTTAGTTAGTTAGTTAGTTAGTTAGTAGTTAGTTAGTTAGTTAGTTAGTAGTTAGTTAGTTAGTTAGTTAGTAGTTAGTTAGTTAGTTAGTTAGTTAGTTAGTTAGTTAGTTAGTTAGTTAGTTAGTTAGTTAGTTAGTTAGTTAGTTAGTTAGTAGTAGTTAGTTAGTTAGTTAGTTAGTAGTTAGTTAGTTAGTTAGGTAGTTAGTTAGTTAGTTAGTAGTTAGTTAGTTAGTTAGTTAGTAGTTAGTTAGTAGTTAGTTAGTTAGTTAGTTAGTTAGTTAGTTAGTTAGTTAGTTAGTTAGTTAGTTAGTAGTTAGTAGTTAGTTAGTTAGTTAGTTAGTTAGTAGTTAGTTAGTTAGTTAGAGTTAGTTAGTTAGTTAGTTAGTTAGTAGTTAGTTAGTTAGTTAGTTAGTTAGTTAGTTAGTTAGTGTTAGTTAGTTAGTTAGTTAGTTAGTAGTTAGTTAGTTAGTAGTTAGTAGTTAGTTAGTTAGTAGTTAGTTAGTTAGTTAGTAGTAGTTAGTTAGTAGTTTAGTTAGTAGTTAGTTAGTTAGTAGTAGTTAGTTAGTTAGTTAGTTAGTTAGTTAGTTAGTTAGTTAGTTAGTAGTTAGTTAGTTAGTTAGTTAGCAAATTCGCCTTAGAAATATTTCCTTAAACACGACTCTGCGCGAATTTTAGATTTGCGTTGGCTTCATTAGTGTTGCAAATTCAAATAATAAATGATGAAGAGACTACACATTTCCCTACTCTGATTACACACCACCAACTAGTTGCAGGATTGTTGGTTTGCAGCAGTGAGATAAAATTACTGCTTGCAACTGCTAGTGAGAAACAAAGTTCTATAAGCGTTTTATTTTATTTGGTTGTTATAGTATGCAACCATGGTAAATGGTTACAATGTCATCGGTTGTACCCGAGTATTTATAATGGGAAGATCTTATAATTTTTTTTGAACAGACAGTGCCTGCTTTACAACTTTGAGATTTTTTAAGTATAATTTGTAGGAATCTCAGTAATATGTATAATTAAAACGCTAAAAAGGAGCCAATTTTAAATTAATTATAAACGTTAAAAAAAAAATTTAGTTCACTTAAGAGCAACTTCCTGAATCTTTAACAGACACCAGCGTTAAACGAGGTATAGTAGTATTCCATGATTTCCTCTATATATCTGCATATGTATATCTGCATTTGTTGCTCTTATTTTCCTACAATTTCACATCTTTTACCATGAAATTAGCTTCACTGATGCTGAAACAAATTGCGATAAATTTTTGTAGTTAAAAAGCCTTCAAATTTTTTTCTAGCATTTGCGTTTCCCCTAAGAAAATAAAACATTTATTTTGTTTTTTTTTTATTTATTTTCACAACTTCGACTTTTAAAATTGAAAAACCGACATCAACCATTTGTTTCTTTCACAATTGTAGAATTGTTTCATTATGCCTTAATTTTTTTTCTTACAGTTTTTACCCCCTGTGTGCTCGGAAAGACATCATCATAAGTTTAGTAGTGATTTTTCTCACTTGCTACTGTTTGTACTAATAAAAGTACTTTGAAAGAAATTGTAAAATAAACGGAAACCTTCAACCCTAATAAACAATAAAAGAAAATAATATTCACTCGCATATACTGTAAAATTGATGATAGAGTCTATGTAGAAAAAAGGGCTCGAGAAAATTTTCCACTAAAGTTATTTTCAAAGTGATTTTTCATCATTCAAATCAAAGTACAAACAAAGAACAATTTCTGTCACAACTTTGGAGGATTTCAATTTAGTAGAAAATTACCTTTTGTTTATGGTCGCAAAAAAAAAAAATAAGAAAACAAGGGAAGTATTCATAGTGAAATTTTACTAAATAAAGTGAAATAGCTTGCAACATATCAACTGATTTTTATTAAGCAGGTTTCCCTTAACATTTTAATATTCTTCAGTTTCTCTAGAAAACTAAATCAAAGAAAAAATTCTCCATTGTTATTTTTCTTTGTGCATTAGATCCAAACATATTACAAAATCTAAACGACGTTTATTTTTTAGATTGCTAATATCAAATCGTTTATTTCAATTTTATTAAGTTTTAAAGAATTATATTTTTGTTTCGTTCAATAAATATAGTTTAAAATAATTTAATTAGTTTTTAATACAGATTTTAAAAATAGATTTATAAAATATACAGTAGTTATTCAGCATTCAAGTGGTTGTCTCTAGTTGAAGATTCCAGTTTTATTCGTCCTTAAGCAAGCATTGTGCTTCGCTCTTTTTTACACACTTATTATCCTCAAAGTCGAAACGTTTGTCATCATCGCAATGCAAGTGCACGAATTTTGTCTCGTCAGATTTTTCAATGCAACGATAGTATTTTCTGCAGTCTCTCACATCAGGATAAATGTCATCTTCATTACACTTTCCATTCTTGATTTTCTTTGTGATCTTCTTGATTAGCTCCTTTTTGGCTTCCTCTTTTTGCTTTTTCTTTTCATCACTGTTTTCACTTGAGTTCTTCTCTTCCTCTTCCTTCTTTTTCTTTTCTTCCTCCTTCTTTTTCTTCTCTTCCTCCTTCTTTTTCTTCTCTTCTTCCCTCTTTCTCTTTTCCTCCTCCTTCTTCTCTTCTTCCTCCTTCTTTCTCTTTTCTTGCTCCTTCTTTCTCTTTTCTTCCTCCTTCTTCTTTTTTTCTTCTTCCCTCTTATCCTTATTTTCTTTCGATTTGTCTTCTACTGAAACGTCTTCTTTCGAAATAGGTTTATGTTTCACAGGTTCCTTAGATTCGGTAGACTCAGTTTCCGCAGTTTCAGTTTTCTCAGCTTTTTCAGGTTTGCTTAATGACCAATCTGGGTGTGGACGACTAGGATATCCAGGTCTTCCAGGACGACCAGGTTTGATTGGACGAAGAGGAACATTAGGGTCAACTGGTGAGTTAGGTTTGACTGGTGCATTGGGATCAACAGGGGCATTCGTGTCGACTGGAGAATTGGGAGTAACTGGCACATTTGGATTTATTGGAGTACTAGAATCGATTGGTGTATTGGGATTAGCTGGTGCATTAGGGTCGACTGGTGCATTGGGATCAACTGGGGCATTGGGATCAACGGGTGCATTGGGTTCAACTGGTGCATTGGGATCAACTGGAGCACTGGGATCAACTGGAGCATTAGGGTCGACTGGTGCATTGGGATCAACTGGAGCATTTGGATCAACTGGAGTATTAGGATCGACTGGTGCATTGGGATCAACTGGGGCATTAGGGTCGACTGGAGCATTGGGATCAACTGGTGTATTAGGGTCGACTGGAGCACTGGGATCAACTGGTGCATTGGGATCAACTGGAGCATTTGGATCAACTGGAGCATTAGGGTCGACTGGCGCATTAGGGTCGACTGGTACATTGGGATCAACTGGCGCATTAGGACCAACTGGTGCATTAGGATCAACCGGAGTATTAGGATCGACTGGTGCATTGGGATCACCTGGTGCATTAGGATTAACTGGTGCATTGGGATCAATTGGAGCATTAGGGTCGACTGGAGCATTGGGATTAACTGGAGCATTAGGGTCGACTGGAGCACTGGGATCAACTGGAGCATTAGGATCAACTGGGGAATTAGGATCAACTGGTGAATTGGGATCAACTGGGGCATTAGGATCAACAGGAGTATTGGGATCAATTGGAGCATTAGGGTCCACTGGAGCATTGGGATCAACTGGAGCATTAGGGTTGACTGGAGCACTGGGATCAACTGGAGCATTGGGATCAGCTGGGGAATTAGGGTCGACTGGTGCATTGGGATCAACTGGAGCATTTGGATCAACTGGAGTATTAGGATCGACTGGCGCATTAGGGTCGACTGGAGCATTGGGATCAACTGGTGTATTAGGGTCGACTGGAGCACTGGGATCAACTGGAACATTAGGGTCGACTGGTGCATTGGGATCAACTGGGGCATTGGGATCAACGGGTGCATTGGGTTCAACTGGTGCATTGGGATCAACTGGAGCACTGGGATCAACTGGAGCATTAGGGTCGACTGGTGCATTGGGATCAACTGGAGCATTTGGATCAACTGGAGCATTTGGATCAACTGGAGTATTAGGATCGACTGGTGCATTGGGATCAACTGGGGCATTAGGGTCGACTGGAGCATTGGGATCAACTGGTGTATTAGGGTCGACTGGAGCACTGGGATCAACTGGTGCATTGGGATCAACTGGAGCATTTGGATCAACTGGAGCATTAGGGTCGACTGGCGCATTAGGGTCGACTGGTGCATTGGGATCAACTGGCGCATTAGGATCGACTGGTGCATTGGGATCAACTGGTGCATTAGGGTCTACTGTTGCATTGGGATCCACTGGTGCAGTAGGGTCGAGTGGTGCATTAGGATCAACTGGAGCAGTAGGGTCGACTGGTGCATTGGGATCGACTGGTGCATTGGGATCAACTGGGGCATTAGGGTCAACTGGAGCATTAGGGTTGACTGGTGCACTGGGATCAACTGGCGCATTAGGGTCGACTGGTGCATTGGGATCAACTGGTGGATTGGGATCAACTGGAGCGTTGGGATCGACAGGGGCATTGGGATCAACAGGGGCGTTGGGATCAACTGGTGCAGTAGGGTCGACTGGTGTATTTGGATCAACTGGAACATTAGGGTCAACTGGTGCATTGGGATCAACTGGTGCATTAGGATCAGCTGGTGCAGTAGGGTCGAGTGGTGCATTGGGATCGACAGGTGCATTAGGATCAACTGGAGCATTAGGGTCGACTGGGGCATTGGGATCAACTGGTGCAGTAGGGTCGACTGGTGTATTTGGATCAACTGGAACATTAGGGTCAACTGGTGCATTGGGATCAACTGGTGCATTAGGGTCGACTGGGGCGTTGGGGTCAACTGGTGCAGTAGGGTCGACTGGTGTATTTGGATCGACAGGAGCATTAGGATCAACCGGAGCATTAGGATCGACTGGAACATTAGGATCAACTGGTGCATTGGGATCGACTGGTGCATTGGGATCGACTGGTGCATTGGGATCGACTGGTGCATTAGGATCAACTGGAGCATTAGGGTCGACTGGGGCGCTGGGATCAACTGGTGCAGTAGGGTCGACTGGTGTATTTGGATCGACAGGTGCATTAGGATCAACCGGAGCATTAGGGTCGACTGGTGCATTAGGATCAACTGGTGTTGTAGGGTCGACTGGTGCATTGGGATCAACTGGTGCATTAGGGTCTACTGTTGCATTGGGATCAACTGGTGCATTAGGATCAACTGGTGCAGTAGGGTCGACTGGTGCATTAGGATCAAGAGGGGCATTAGGATCAACTGGAGCATTAGGGTCGACTGGTGTATTAGGATCAACTGGCGCAGTAGGGTCGACTGGAGCATTAGGATCAACCGGAGCATTAGGGTCGACTGGTGCATTAGGGTCTACTGTTGCATAGGGATCAACTGGTGCATTAGGATCAACTGGAACATTGGGGTCTACTGGGGCGCTGGGATCAACTGGTGCAGTAGGGTCGACTGGTGCATTAGGATCAACTGGTGTAGTAGGGTCGACTGGTGCATTGGGATCAACTGGTGCATTAGGGTCTACTGTTGCATTGGGATCAACTGGTGCATTAGGATCAACTGGTGCAGTCGGGTCGACTGGTGCATTGGGATCAAGAGGGGCATTAGGATCAACTGGAGCATTAGGTTCGACTGGTGTATTAGGATCAACTGGCGCAGTAGGGTCGACTGGAGCATTAGGATCTACCGGAGCATTAGGGTCGACTGGTGCATTAGGGTCAACTGGTGCATTAGGATTAACTGGACCTAGAGTAGGATCAACTGGTGCATTGGGATCAACTGGTCCATTAGGATCAACTGGTGCATTAGGGTCGACTGGTGTATTGGGATCAACTGGAGTATTAGGGTCAACTGGTGCATTGGGATCAATTGGTGCAGTAGGGTCGACTGTTGCGTTGGGATCAACTGGAGCATTGGGATCAACTGGTGCATTGGGATCAACTGGAGCATTAGGGTCAACTGGTGCATTAGGGTCGACTGTTGCGTTGGGATCAACTGGAGCATTGGGATCAACTGGTGCATTAGGGTCAACTGGACCTAAAGTAGGTTCAATAGGTAGTGATGTTGGATCTACTGGATCGATCGGTGCATTGGGATCAACTGGAGCAGTAGGATCTACTGGAGCATTGGGGTCGACTGGTGCATTGGGATCAACAGGAGCATTAGGATCGACTGGGGCATTGGGGTCGACTGGTGCATTGGGATCAGCTGGCACAACTGTAGAGTCAAAAACTGTGGTTGTGTCAATAGGTAAGGATGTAGGATCTACCGGAGCTGTTGGGTTCACAGGTGCACTAGGATCGAACGGTCCAATAGTAGTGTCAATCGGTAATGTGGTTGTTTCAAGGGGTAATGATGTTGGTCCAACTGGGGTATTGGGATCAACCGGAGCATTGGGATCAACAGGAGCGTTTGGATCTGCAGGTTCAGTGGGATTTACAGGAATATTTGTGGGATTAACTGGACTATTGGGATCTGCGGTGGGATTTTCTGGGGCGATTGGTGAAATTGTTGATACAATTGGAGAATTTGGTTCCACAGATCCCGAAGTAGGATCGACAGGTATCGCTGTTGGATCAACGGGACTATTAGGTTCGACAGGTGCTAATGTTGTATCTACTGGTACACTAGGATCAATTGGAGCAACAGTTGTTTCTTCTGGAATTATTGTTGTCTCTATTGGTAATTCTGGCACTAATGTAGGCAATAACGTAGTGTCCTGAGGTACGTCAGGAATTACTGTTGTTTCCAAAGGAATATTAGTGGTTTCAATTGGAACGGCAGTAGTTTCAACAGGAGCTGCAGAAGGTTCCGCTGGGGCTGCGGTCGTTTCAACTGGAGCAGCAGAAGGTTCCACAGGGGCTGCAGAAGTTTCCACAGGGACAACAGGCGATTCAGAGGGGACAGCAGAAGGTTCCTCAGGGGCAGCAGAAGGCTCAACAGGATCTAGGGGACCCTCGGTTGAGGGACTAGGTACAGCAGCACTTGAAGTGCTATTGACAATGCCTTCTGTTACTGGAGCATCAGTGGATGTCTTCAAAGGCACACAAATTTCAACTCCATCATTTACACAGCGAGAATTCGTTGGACACTGCTTTGCATTACCACTGGCAAACATTTCACCTCTAGCATTGCTTATACAGTCCTTATACATGAGAGGACCTACACAAACCGCAATTTTTCCATTACAATTTATATTGGTTAGTCCACCGGGTGAAGATTGTTCCACAAGTTCTTGGCTACTTGCAAGTGCTGAAAGCTAAAATAATATAATGAAGAGTTGTACATGTTAAACCACATAGTTGTTATGGATTTTGGAATTTTTCAAACACAGTTTATCCATTTTTAGTATCCATTATTATATATTAAAGAGGTTATTTAAGCATAGATTAATTTTGTTAGTTTATATGTATTTATATTCAAAAATGTATAACTTGCATATGATATAGCATTAGTGTTGAATGATTTAAAAGATATCCAAGTCAATAATATTCCCGCTAACTTTTCATTGATTTGATATTTTATATGTATATTCAAGTCATGTTTTTTTTTTTAATTTTATCCACCATTTGTAAACGTTTTATAAAAAAATAGTTTTTCAATTAGAAACCAATATAATAGTTTTTTCTTAAATAATTATTATTATTTTTAGTCACAATTTAGTTAAGATATTGTATAGAATTTTGTTATCTTATTTGTACACACAATATAAATCCAATGATAGTGAAGCATTTAATTTTGAATTTTGTTTCCGTGGAGAGTAATTTTTTTTTCGCGATATTATTAGCACTTTTGTAATATGAAATTAGTTAATTTTAAAAACTTTTAATTTACCACAAGTAATAGGAATACACTGGATATTTTATTCGTTGTCATCGTTTAGGTTCGAAAAATAATTCGTTACTATAAAAGTTTTTGCAGCGTTTGTGCCTTTTTATGCAAAATTTCTTATCAGCATCTTTTGCACAATATGTAGAAGAAGAAGAACTAACATCTGTCTGGTTGATTTTTCAAAATTTGTTTATTCGATAATAATTATCTCTGGTTATCTAGTTTTCTTTTTTTGCTTTACTGATAAAGTTTATATATTTTAGCGAAATTATAAATAATTCCAAAAAAGTTCAATGTGAAATAGAGTTGTCAAAAGATTTTGTGGAGATTTAGTAAGATTCTTACTATCTGGGGTTTCAAACATTTAGTTTTTCTAAATATTCGTCAAAATTATAAACATTTTTCCTTCAATAGTAAATTTATTACATTTTTTTTTCTTTAAATATCAGATTTTGGAGAATTTTGTATATATGTATAACAAAACTTCCAAAATTTTTCTTAAAATTAACAGTTGTTTCTTCTGGAATTATTGTTGTCTCTGTTGGTAAATCTGGAACTAATGTAGGCAATAACGTAGTGTCCTGTGGTACGTCAGGAATTACTGTTGTTTCCTAAGGAATATTAGTGGTTTTAATTGGAACGGCAGTAGTTTCAACAGGAACAGCAGAAGGTTCTGCTGGGGCCGCGGTGGTTTCAACTGGAGCAGCAGAAGGTTCCACAGGGGCTGCAGAAGTTTCCACAGGGACAACAGGCGATTCAGAGGGGACAGCAGAAGGTTCCACAGGGGCAGCAGAAGCAAATAGCAAATTTTGGGAAAACTTCCTATAAATAGCAAATTTTGAGAAAACTTCCTATAAATAGCAAATTTTGGGAAAACTTTCTATAAGTAACAAATTTTGGGAAAACCTCCTATAAATAGCAAATTTTGGGAAAACTTCCTAAAAATAGCAAATTTTTCGAAAATTTGGGAAAACTTTCTATAAATAACAAATTTTGGGAAAACTTCTTATAAATAGCAAATTTTAGGAAAACATCCTATAAATAGCAAATTTTAGGAAAACTTCCTTTAAATAGCAAATTTTAGGAAAATTTCCTATAAATAGGTAATTTTAGAAAAACTTTCTATAAATAGCAAATTTTGGAAAAACTTCCTATAAATAGCAAATTTTAGAAAAACTTCCTATAAATAGCAAATTTTGGGAAAACTTCCTATAAATAGCAAATTTTGGAAAAACTTCCCATAAATAGGAAATTTTGGGAAAACTTCCTATAAATAGCAAATTTTAGCAAAATTTCCTATAAATAGCAAATTTTGGAAAAACTTCCTAGAAATAGCAAATTTTTGGGAAATGTCCTATAAACAGCAAATTTTCGGAAAATTTCCTATAAGTAGCAAATTTTCGGAAAATTTCCCATATATATAAAATTTTTGGAAAATTTCCTATATATAGTAATTTTCTGAAAAATTTTCTATAATTAGTTTGCTTTAGGAAAATTTCCAATAAATAACAAATTTTAGAAAAATTTCCTATAAACAGCAAATTTTGGAAAAACTTCTTATAAGTAGCAAATTTTAGAAAAACTTCCTATAAATAGCTAATTTTGGGAAAACTTCCTATGAATAGCAAATTTTTGAAAAACTTACCATAAATAGGAAATTTTGGGAAAACTTCCTATAAATAGCAAATTTTGGGAAAACTTTCTATAAATAACAAATTTTGGAAAAACTTCCTATAAATAGCAAATTTTAGAAAAACTTCATATAAATAGCAAATTTTGGGAAAATTTCCTATAAATAGCAAATTTTAGAAAAACTTCCTAATTTAATTAGTTTGCTTTAGGAAAATTTCCAATAAATAACAAATTTTAGGAAAATTTCCTATAAATAGGAAATTTTGGGAAAACTTCCTATAAATAGCAAATTTTGGAAAAACTTCCTATAAATAGCAAATTTTGGGAAAATTTTCCATAAATAGCTAATTTTAGGAAAATTTCTAATAAATAACAAATGTTATGAAAATTTCCTATAAAAAGCAAATTTTTGAAAAATTTTCAATAAACAGGAAATTTTTGAAATATTTCCAAAACAAAAAATCTGATATAATGATTTTTTGTTACCCTGTTCCAAATTCTTTACTTGGCAACCCTATTATTGCATCTTAATGTAAAATCATTAGATAAACTTTTAACTTGTTCACATATAAATTCATACGTTTGTGCATGTTTCAAAATTTATGACATTGCGGATAGCAAATGAAGTTGATAACAAATGTTGTTTTGTATTTTTATTTAAATTCTTCTAATTTTCTATTTACTATTTAGTTTTCTTTTCCCCCCCATTATCAGTTAAAGTTAGTATTATTTACAATTTGGTTTTGTCGCACGCATAAACTTTAAAAAGCAGCATCTCCGAAAAAAGAGAATCACCTTAAAATGTGATAAGATAAAGTACGTGAAGTGTATTATTTTGTGTATTTATTACAGATAAAAGTTGTACACAATATTTCATTAAATTAGTGGTTTGTCTAAATTCGTTATTTTAATGTTTATGCAGTAAAAAATAAAAAAAAAAATAAAAATTTTATGAATATTTTATAATATTACTTTAACTTTTTTATTCTATTTAAAAAAGGTAATAAAGTGATTCATTCATTTGTTTTGTTTATTTTAATGTTTTTGCAGTAGATGACGTTAAATATTGGACTTTATAATTTTAAGAATTTTTAATCAATCTTAAGTAGGCGCATTTCCTGCGGAAATTGTTTTGTTGTCAGTGACTAATACACATATGTATGCAGTTGTGAGGAAAATATTTTGAGTTACTCTGGAGCAGATATCGGTGAAGTGTGGCAAATGTCGATATGTTTGTTGTTTAATCATTTGTGAGTTTTTGTATGGATGAAATCAAAAGAGCTCATAAGATAACTCTTAGTCGATAACAGCTCTAGGAGGCAGGGAATTGCCACAAAATTTCAGTGACTGGAATCGGTACTTGTTTTAACTACTTAATAATAGACATTCGGAAACTTCTTCGATTGTCCATAATCTTCAACCCAGATATAATTCTTAAAAACCTTGTGTTTTCAGTAAATTTTTGAAAATATTAATCATTCAATTTTTATTTACTGTAAGGGTTTCATGAACAACGTATCAAAATCTAATGACGTCAATTATGTATGATATTAAAAATTTAAAGTGTTGACATTTAATGTCAAAATTATATTTATCTAAATATTAAGATGGATTTAAAAGTAGCAGAAAAAATATACCTATTTGATATTGTATTTTTTTTTATATGTAACTCTAGTTCAAGTACATTTATAATAAACAATTTGGAAGTAAATAATAAAAAAAAAAAAAAAATTATACACTTTTTTGGCATCTTATTTTTCTACATGACAAATATTTACTTTTTACAATTTTTCAAATAATTTCTAAAGTTGTTTATTAGATTAATTTATAATGAGACAACATGTGTAGGAGTAAAATAAATAAATTAAAAAAGAAATATAAATAAATAAAAATTATTACATAAAAATGCTTGTTGACAAAATATTGTTATCAGACGTCTGGTATTTAAAGAAAAACGTAGTTAAATAATGTTTGCATTTAAAAATTTATTCATATGTATGTAAAATAATAAATGTTTAAAGTTGTAGTATAGGCACATACATATGAACGGAAATAGTTTAGTCAACTCAATTTTTTTTTTTTTTTGTAAATTATAGTTAGATTTCTGTTCCTATAAAACTAGTTTTTGGGGGGATTATGGATTGATCCTCACAAAATTTGGTAAAGAGATTTTCGTTCCTATGGAACTCGTTTGTTTAGAATTGAAGTAATTTTTTGAAGGGGACCTTATATGGGGAATGAGGGCAATTATGATACGATATGCAACATACATAAAAATATAACATTTTTGTTGCATAAAACTAATGTATGCAACATTTTAACACGGTTGCTGTTTAATGAACTAATTTAAGTTTATTTTTAACTTTAATTCCGGGAGGAACTTGTATGGGAGCTAGCTGAAATTATGAGCCGATATTGCTCTTTTTTAACATCAAATAAACCTTATCATTCATAGAGAATTATTGTGGCTTTAATGAACTAATTTAAGTTTATTTTTAACTTTAATTCCGGGAGGAACTTGTATGGGAGCTAGCTGAAATTATGAGCCGATATTGCTCTTTTTTAATATCAAATAAACCTTATCATTCATAGAGAATTATTGTGGCTTGTGATCCCTATAATGATTTCAACAGACAGACAGACGGACAGACAGATAGACAGACAGACAGACAGACAGACAGACAGACAGACATGACTAGAATATCTTAGATTAGATTCCGATCAGTTCTTTACGGAGTACTCTTTACACACGTGCGAAGTGATCTCAATTTTAGTAGGATATCCAAAAAATAGCACATTTATTATAGAGAAAAAATTAACTAAAATTAGTAAGTTTATAAAAAAGCAATTTTTTAAACAAATTTTCAAAAATAAGAATTTTTTTTTTAAATTTTGCAAAATGTAGGAAATTTCTTGAAAACATTTGCAAAAACCAAGTGAGTAAGAGTTCTCTATATAATGTTATATACCCTTCACCATGATGTGTTAAAAAAAACAGTTAGTACAAAAAATTACTATAAAAAAACAAGTAAGAAAGTATAGTCGGGCGTGGCCGACCATATGATACCCTACACCAGTTATGAATATTAAATGTGATTTATTTTTCATAATAAAGCATTTATCTTCAATATTCCCTTGTTCCGATACATTTAAGCAATTTATGGATGAAAAACTAATTTTCTGAAAGAGGCTTTATATGGGGGCTAGGGGCAAAAATGGACTAAGCCTGATAAAATTTTGTAAATATATTTATATTTACATAATATTTTATTGTGCTGAATTTCATCGCGATATTTGTGTTTATATGTTAATTTGGGACATTCAAGTAATTTTCTGAAGGGGACTTTGTATGGGAGCTAGGGTCAAATGGGGTCCGATCTTTATGAAATTTGGCAGGGTCATCAAGACGTCTATAAAACTTAGTTGTGCCGTATTTTATCGATATATCTGTAT